GCGCCAAGGTCTGGGGTTAGGCGCCAAGCCTGATGCCAACGCGTTTTCGAAAATCCGATAAGTTTACCGTACTAGAGGATAAAATAATATAATTTCCTCAAAAATGCTATTTGATTTTGATTAAAACTCTGAAAAGTCAACGAAAGTCAATTTATCAATGCTAATTGAATTAGGAATGAAAAGAACCTTCTAGAAGATTCTAGAAGACTAAAACCATTCCTAATTGCATTAGGATTGATATTAGGCCCTCCCCTAGATCATTGGGCCGTACATAAAGCTATAACCGGGCCCAGTTTGGTAAATTGGTCATAACTTCCTCAATATTCATCGGAATTGGGCTTATAATATATCGTTGGAAAGGTCTTTGCAAGCCTCATCCAAATACACTACTATTGGACCCATATCATGGACCAACCAAACTGGATTGCCTGTTTTCTTAAAATAAGTTTCAAAAACAGAGAGAAGAGAAAAGAAATTAAAACTTTCCGCAACACTAGACCTTTCCACACTTTCGTTTCATTCGATTATGATTCGACGTGAAAGGTACTCATCACTGGGTTTGGTTTTGGGGAGACACAAATGGGTGTCTACACGGAGCAACATATCAAAAATTGGTTGACAAGGTTTTTGCAAACCAAAAAGGTCGCAATGTGGAAGTATATGTAGATGATACGATAGTGAAGAGAAAGGCGAAGAGAGATCATATAGATGATTTAAAAGAAACTTTTGCTACTTTGCGGCAATATCAAATGAAACTCAATCCGGAAAAGTGTGTTTTTGGAATTCGCTCTGGAAAGTTCTTGGGTTTCATGGTCAGTGATCGGGGCATTGAAGCAAATCCCGATAAAGTCAACACCCTCCTTGAAATGAAGCAACCCAAAACAATTCGAGATTGTAACCTGAAATTATATTATCTACCAAAAAAACAAAAAATTATAATACCATGGATAAATGTAAATTTATCATCTTACCTGAAAAGCACAAGAAGCAACCGCGATTGTAACCTCGAATACCCACTATTTAAGGTATCCAAAGCGTAAGTAAAACCTGTAAACATAATCAAATGGTGCAGCCATCAAGGTCTAAAATAATAATTTAACTAGAGTGTACCCGTGTAAAATGCACGGGATATATAAGAAAAAATATATTTAAAATGTGGAAAGTTAATTTTGATGTTGTAATTTAGACTTGAGTTGTAATGGTCGGTTTTGGACGTCGGTTCTGTTGAACCCTAATTAGCTATGTTGTACTGAGTATTAATAATAATCGTATTAATAATGTGCTGACACCTGATGTGCTATGCTGAAATATGATATTCTAAGCAAAGCTTAGAAGCTCAAAAAACAGGGTCTTACTCTTTTATGTCGGTGGCCACACAATGCTATTATGGGATTTACTTTTTCAATGTTATAGAGGTTACCCGTTCAGTGTTATAGGGGTTACTTGTGTTACTCGGTTCGTGTCATATGGGTTAGCGTCTTGCTGTAGGAGGTACATAATTTCTATTGTACTAAGTATTAATAATAATCGTATTAATAATGTGCTGACACCTGATGTGCTATGCTGAAATATGATATTCTAAGCAAAGCTTAGAAGCTCAAAAAACAGGTTCTTACTGTAGGGAATATTTCAAGCGTTAATCCCCTAACTTGAACCCCACTGTGATCATACACTAAAGTACGGTGGCGTCCAAAGGGAAAGAAGATAGAGCAAAAGAGTCGCCAACAAGTTTTAGGAACTTGTAAACCGTTCACGAGGTGAAGGTTACACCCCTTAACGATCCAAGAGATCGTCAACTCCAATAAGGTCTTGAACCAAATAGGGTTCGGGGATGAAGGTACAAATCCAACCTAAAAGAGATTGAACCTGCCCTAATAATAGGCCTCTACTTTATTATGATCGTATTCATGTGCGCTTTCTGACTAACATGCAATCAATAGGATTACCCTAAACCTGTTTATCTATGTTGGTTGAATATTAATGCACAAATAAAACTATTATTGGCGATCACTTGAATTATAATCAAATTAACCCTAAATAAGATTATTAATTATCTTATTAAGCGTGATTACAAGTACAAATTCCCTTTAAACATGCATAAAGGTGTGATCAAGCAATAAAAATAAATATAACCAAGCAACATAATAACAATAAAAATAATAATCATAATCATAACAATAATAATCATCATAAATTATAACAAGTATAATCATAATCATATTCGTGTTAATATTAAAGCATAATAATAGCAAGATCCTAGGCATGATACTAACAAGATTAATAACAAACCCTATCATGTTACTAAACAATAAAAATCAAAGCTTTAACCCTAACATGATACTAACATGATTAAATATTAGAAAAGAATATAAAAGGCATCATGCTTTTAATTATACTTAATATCAAAGTTACCCTAGACATAATACTAGGAATTTATTGTTGTCACCCTAAACATCAAATTAAGGAAAACATCCTAACATGATACTAGGAATCAAAATAACAATCTAAGCATGATTTATATATCATAATATCATTTAAACCATTAAAGTACTTACTTGGATGCCTCGTACCTCTTTCTAATAACAAAATACACACGTTAGTAACTTCAAGGAAAATAATAAACAAAACAATTAAATTAAATAATTGAAAGAGAGATTTGGGACCAAACCCTCAGAAATTAAACCTTTCACGTCTAGGGCGAAGGCAATTTCGAATATGGCTAGGTGTTTCTAAATCTAATTAATGCGGAATTTTTATATTTGAGAGAAGGCTAGTTTAGAAAAGAGAGAGAGAAAGTAATCAAGAGAACTTGATGAGAGTTGGTTTAGAAAGAGAGAATTGGTGAATGAAAACGGAATTTTTAACACGTTATTTATAAAGAAAATCAGCCAAAAAGATAAAACATCAAAACAGAGTTCTGACGCGGATAAAAATTGATTAGCGCCAACGCCAGCCATTGGCACCAGACGCCAACATTAGCGTCAGGCGCTAATGTCTGGCGTTAGGCGCTAATCCCTTTTTTGACGCGTTTTCTAAAATCAGATAGAAATTGCCGTATAGGAAGATAAAATCGTATTTTCCTCAAAAATGTTCTTTGATTCTAATTAAAACTCTAAAAAGTCAACAAAACTCAATTTATCAATGTTAATCGAATTAGGAATGAAAAGAACCTTCTAGAAGAATCTAGAAGACTAAAACTATTCCTAATTGCATTAGGAATGATAAATCCATATTAGGCCCTCCTCTAGATCATTGGGCCGCATATAAGGCTCAAACCGGGCCCAGTTCAGTAATTTGTCCATAACTTCCTCAACATTCATCGGAATTGGGCTTATAATATATCGTTGGAAAGGTCTTTTCAAGCCCCATCCAACTACACCATTATTGGACCCATATCATAGACCAACCAAACTGGATTGGCTGTTTTCTTAAAATAGGTTTTCAAAAATAGAGAGAAGAGAAAAGAAATTAAAACTATCCGCAACACTAAACTTTCCACACTTTCACTTCATTCGATTATGATTCAACGTGAAAGGTACTCATCACTGGATTTGGTTTTGGGGAGACACAAATGGGTGTCTACAGAAGCCCCCACTTTGACAGAGTTTGGAGAAACGCAAGTTTCGAAAACAAAAGTCAAAGTATCGATAGGGTCGGATAATGATTCAGAACGTTCTGCGATCCTAAATCACTCTTGTAACGCCAACACCTGTAAACTAGCGTTAGTTAAACAGATAAAAGAGTTAAGAAACGCGTATCTTGCACCGTCGAGCACACGTCTCTGAAGTAACCAATTTGTTGCCGCTTTACTGTTGTTTTGATGACCTCCTGCCAAGAGAATGTCATCCCGCTTGAAAACCGCTGCGCTTGTAACTGCTTCCAATATAGAAGATTGCTTCGCTTGAAACGATCCTCTTACGCTTTGATAATATTCCACGTCTAAGGGAACACTATCGAAGACAACTTCGCTTGAAATCACCTTCAGTTGTTTGTGACAACTCTCCACAATCTAGGGAACGCCATCTTGCTGTTTCGATGTTCACTCATCTCTGAACAAAGAGCTTCTTTTTTTGGATATGTTCACGCGCCTCTGAACAAAGAGCTTCTTTTTTTTAATATGTCCACGCTTCTCTGAACAAAGAGCTTGAAATACATGTCCACGCATCTCTGAACAAAGAGCTTGATAATAGGATGCCCACGCGTCTCTGAGCAAAAGAGCTTTGATGATATGTCCACGCGTCTCTAAACAAAAGAGCTTGATAGAAATGTCCACGCGTCTCTGAACAAAGAGTTTCGATGCTTGAATGTTTGTTGCGATAATATTCCGAAGACCAACGCTTGTTGATCTCCAAAGCTCGCTTGAACTTTGCTTCCGCTATGCCAGTACGTCGGTGGTTTGCTGCTTGTGAATCATTATGTCGGTGTCTCCGTGATGAGCCAACGCTTAGGCGCTTTAAGCTAAGTAAGACGATCTTTCATCAGGTCGATCACTTATTGCGATTGTAATCAAACCGACTACTTAATTATGTCAAATTGCTTATAGGGGCCAACTAGCGTACCAAGGAACCCGAAATTGTTGTATGAGGTCGAAATCACCTTTCTAAGAGGCTTCGAGCTCTGTCGCTGCTGAAATATCTCTGGCGCCAAGAATTGGCTCTGTCGCCAGGCGCTAAAAACTATTACCAGACGCTAGAACTCCACCCCTAAAAATGTACCATTCGCGATATGAACTACAATTCTTATTTAATAAAATTTCCTTCATTATTTCCCTTCTATGTGCCATTCATAAGGATCTGTAAAGGGAAAAAGGAAGGAAGAAGTTTGAAGTTTAGCCTTAGCAGAGACACTCCCGGATTCACGGATGACAGAACTCAAGTGAATAGATCCATTTCTTTTTGAACTAATTTCCAATTTCTGCAAATTCCCTCTCAAAGTTTACATATAATGTAAGTATGAAGGATGAACAGTAAAAATATCATGAATAATAAAAGTAAGCCAAATTAAGCTTAACACATTAAACTGAATTGTTATTGAGAGTGTATGGGTTGTTCTTGTTAAAGATGAATGTAGAGTAAGAGAAAGAATAAGTAAGCTTGCTCAATAATGGCTTCCATGAGCCAAACACTAAAACCCCTAAAAAGAAATAAAAAAAAATTCTCAGTTTTGTCCAATATAATAACATTGCCATCAATCTTATTTTCAATTCTCGTTTTAAATTATAACATTAATATCCTTTCTCGTTCTTTTCCCTTTTATTACTTGAAGTTATCGACAGGCAGTAAAGCACCACCTACTGCCTTAGCTGTGTTGACATCATAGCATGCAAACCTCTTCTTTGGTGCTCTACACTGAGGGCAAGCATAATTGTCGGGCTGCAAAACAAGCAAAACAAATAGTTGTTCAGAGTAAATTATTAAAGAAATGGTCAAACTGGAATTAAATTTAATGAATATCAGATTGACTAGCTTGCATGATCTTCAATTGGTTTTGATAATGTGTATATGAATCCACAGTCAGGCATATGTGAGTCTCTTTGGGCTGAAAAGTTCAGTAGCATCTCAGTAACATATAAGCAGTTCAAGTAAAATGTGCTTAAATTTTTTACAGATTGAGTCTTGTTAGAGCCTCCATGTCTCTATAAATGCTTGCCTTTTGTGTCTCAGTTAGTTTTCACCCAAAAAGTGTAGGAGCAAGACATTTTGGAAGTTTTTCACATCAACATCAGCACATCTGCATTAAAATGCAGAGCATCAGGAGCAAAGAGAGATTACCAATATATTATACAAAGATAATATTGAATATTCAAAGATTAGCTCCATCTAGCTTTCAAATATTACTATCTGATTTCTCTCTAGTTCTATATGCTTCTTCCTAAATAAGCACACAGCTTATAACTCCATAACATGGGGTGTAGGGAAGAAATAAACACATAAGTTATTTGGGTATGGTGATTAAAACTTACTACACACTTCGCATAAGCAAACATAGGAAAGCTTTCAGAGTGTAATGGAAACTTTCTAAAAAGTCTAATCCCTTTCCTTATCTCATTAACTGGTGCATATGGCTGAACCTAGGTTGGTTATTGTTAAGGATGTTCATAAGCCAACTTAATATCTGTTGCTTTTCGCAAATCACGTCACTCCCCAAACCTAGGGGTGAAAGTTCGGTATTCGGTTTGGATTTTACTCCAAACCGAATCCAAACCGAATTATTTCGGTTTCAGATTTTTGAAACCGAATCCAAACCAAATTTGGATTCAATCCAATCCAATCCAAACCGAAATAATTCGGTTTTGAAAAATGAATCCAATCCAAACCGAATTTTTTTTTGGGCTATCATTTTGGGCCTTAAATTTGGGCTTTTATTTGGGCCTATCGTTTTAGTCATTTTAAAGGCCTAAATTTTGTACGTTTCCTGAACAAAATTTTAAGAAAAAACTAAAGTTTTTAAGACTAATATTTGTCACATTAAGTAATAGCATAATAGTTATAAAAATAAAAAAAAAAAACATTCCAGCCATTAGAATAAAATTACAGACATAATAGAAATCTTAAAAATGAAATAGCAGTCCAACTAGCAGCAACTTAATTCAATTGGCAGCAGCTTAATGAAACAATGGCAGCAGCTTAATTGGCTGGCAGCTTTAACTCTTCAACCGTTCAATCAAGCTCAACCAAGTCTTGGTTATTTTGACCACCACCAATTGTGTCAAATTTCTAGTCTAATAACAGAAACAAAAAAGCAAGTTACATAATATATATGAAATAATGAAAAAAAAATCATATAATAATTGTTGTTATTAAAACATATCAAACAGAGGCTATGGGTGAACATCAATTATCGCCGAACAATCAATCTATCACCAATTCGAACATCAAATATCACCAAACAATCAATCTATCACCAATTCGAAGTTTTCGAATAGAATAAAGGAAATCTAGGGACAATTGGACAAAGGAAAATTCACCAATTCGAATTATAAAACATCAAATTCACAAAATTGTAGAGAAGCAGGAAAAGAGAAGTGAAATCTGAAAAGAGAAGGTATTCTTACCTTTCACTTAATCGAACGCGGTGGTAACTGGTGAGCGTTGAGCGGCGGTGAGATACCGAAGTACCAGACTGGTGGTGGACGGACGGAGTGAGGTGGTGAGGGAGAGAGGAGGGAAAATCTAGGGTTTTGGTGAGGGAAAGTGAAACTGTGAAAGGGAAATAGGAAAAGAGGGGACGAAAAGATCTAGGGTTTTGGGTATATATATGTCATAAAAAGGGCTGGATTAGTGGGCTTATAAATTTCGGTTCGGTGTTCGGTTTTCGGTTTTCAAATTCCAAAACCGAATCCACACCGAAATATTTCGGTTCCCATTTTTTCAAACCGATCCAATCCGAAAACCGAAAAAAACCGAACCGAATTGCTTATTCGGTTTGGATTGGTTCGGTTTTCGGTTTTTATCCAATTTACTTTCACCCCTACCCAAACCCACGAAAATCAGTTCTTAAACACACTTAATACACCTGTAACCATTCCTTAAAACATCAGCAACAAGAAGCCCTCAAAACACCTACGAAACAGACACTATATATAAACCCTAGCAGATTTAGCCCCCAAAAAGATGCTATAGGGAGTTAAATACCTATGAAAAAACATCTGTTAACAATCCCTAAACAAACTCACAAGTCTGAAGTGATCAACCCCTAAAATGTACCTCAAATATTTCTCTTGTGACAATAATATCTAATACAATAAAGCAAAAAATTTCATACAAAATAATTTCCCGTGCATAATCTCAATTCATCTCTATAAAACTAAAGACTTATCTAGCATTGTTTTCACTTTGACTTATTATTAATCATTTAAAATAAAAGTGTAGTATCCTTCTTATATTTACGGGTGGCAGTTGGCAACCGAGGAGGTTTGGGCTAGTTTTGGCTAGGGTCATTTATAGGAATAGGTTTTCTTGATTAGTATTATGTAAGTAAATTGATGAAATAAACCTAAGAAAACTATACCTAGACTTTATTCTAAATTAATGGATTAAACACATAAATTTAGTTAAATCATCAAAAAATTCTCAATTAGCAAAAATTTCAACTTTGCTCAAATATACCTTAAGAAAGAACAAAACTGACAAAAACACCTTTATGTTAAAGTTCCATCAAAAACTCAAAATAAACCAAATAAACATGACATTGATTATTTTGACCATTAAAATCAACATAAATCATTCTACCAATGCCCCGAGATGCCGCCTCAAAAAACACATACACAAGTACTTTGAAGCCATTGAAAGTTTACTGTTGGACCTCTCTTATAAAGGTGACATTAGTTTCCTAATTGAAATTAGCTGTATTAATAATTTTTATAAAGTGAAAATTCTATATGAAATTTTAATCAGGAGATTGTATTAATCAACCTATAAGAAAATATTCGAAACACCCACCATTAAATCAAACAATAATAAAAGTGAGAACTCGATAGGAAAATGCTCATTTTAACAACATAACATATCTGGAAAAATACACCCAAATTTCATGACAAGTAAGTCTATATTTCAAACTGAATGAAATAACATCTAAAATTTCATCTCAAATATACCCAAAAATACAACTAAAATTTCAAAACTCCAAAAATTCATAAACCCCTGAAAAAACCCAATACACATTTCATCTAATTTAAACAGAAGAAAGAAAAGAAGAGAGAAAGAGTTGTAATATTGGCAAGAAAGAGAAGGACAAGCAAGATTGTAGTTTGCAAGACAATCGTAGAGAATGGGTACTAAAGATTTTCACTGGGTGTACTTCTCGTCTATTGTTAGCTCTCCTAATCTCCTCTCTTCCCATCCCTTTCTCCTTCATCTCTCTCTGAGTGTTTCCTGTGTTTATGGTTTCTCACTAATACTCAATTAGCAGTCTCCTTTATACAAAATCGATTATTTAACTATCAAAATCCAAAAAAAAAAAAAAAAAAAAAATAAAGGGAAAATTTGCAAAAATTATAACTACAGATAACAAATTGAGGGGGAAAAATAAATATTTCTTTCTTTCTTCCTTCTTTCTTTCAGAAAAATATTAAGAGGTGCTTGATCAAGGAGGTCGAAAAGAAGCTTCATATCATCTCTAAATAAAATATCGACGATTTATCATATATATCATGTTCTTCTTTCTTCTTCCTCTTTGCTTACATAATTGTCTAATTATTTCATTTTTAATTAATACAAATAGGTTTTCATAATTAGTAATCCATATAGATCAAGTTTGGAATAAGAGTTAAAAAAAACACTTACATGTTTGTTATGAATTGAAATTGATAAATCATACTCCGTATGCATCAATTCTGTTTAGTCCCTATAAAAAATCTCAATAAGAAAAATCTACAACTCTCCACAATTAAACTTTATTAAAGAATGAAGAAAACCCATGAAAAAAAAAATGCAAATCTGCTAATATAAACCCAAAAAACATGATAACCAAACTCTCAAAAATAAAGCAAAATACTTAATATCACTAACCAAATCAGACTTCCCTCTCAAACTGAAATCACTATTTATTTTTAACACTTCCTTAACAAAAAACATTAAAACTGACCAAATATATCAACTAAAATCGCAATTTCGTTACCTTTCTTCTGATACAAGTCATACAACCACCGCACCACCATTACCAAAACTACATTAAACACTTCATCCTACAAAACGAACGACCAATCCCAAAAGCAAACAATCGAGACAAACCAAAAAGCGATTATACTACCACCTCTATTAAAACACTTGGCCTCCTGATTCAAACCCAAAAGGAAAAAAAAGTAAAATAAAACAAAAACCAAACCTAAAATGAAAAAGAGAATGAGTGCTAGCAAAAGCAAACTCCATAATACGAATATGAGACACTATCTATATCTTAATTAATGTACTTGTCCACAACCTATTACTTTCTCACACCTGTAATCCAAAGCAGCTAATAGTATTGTACTAGTTATAATTTCTTAATAAATAAGTTGGACACACAAGTGAAAATCAATAGAACTATCCTACAAGCACCAAACAATGAATTCCACTAATCTAATAGTGAAGCCTTACATAATTTTGATAATCAATCCAACTGTAAAGAGACATCGACAGCTTTGACTCCAAACCTAATCAATCCCAAACTGCTAGAGCTATAAACCAAACCCAAAACCATAGGACTAAACCTTAGCAGTCCAAAAAAAAAAAAAAAAAAAAAAAAAGAGGGAAATTAAAACATATATATAATATAAATCAGACTTACCAGTTAAACACAATCAAGAACCACAATCGTAAAACACTCACCGACTGCTGAATTCCAAATCAATCAAACCTTTCATATAATTACAGATTTTTGGATATAGAATCAGGCATGGAATGGGGTTTTGGTTGTTGATTCACAGCAATACTACCAGTCTTAAGTAAAATCACCTGCATAATTAGAGGAAGATTCTATAGAATCTACATAGGAACAAGGCTTTTGGAATTTTTTTTCAAATACAAGCCAAAATTTGAACCTCATGTTGATAATATCTCTTTCATCTGCCTCAGCTCAATAGTAACAAACAACTCCATAGCAAGTAGTAATGTGATGAGCCCTCACTCAATCATTCCCTTCTCTAAGCAACACAAAGTTCAGCGGCAAAAAGGTAGAAGTAATTGCCGCAACTTTATACCAGTGTTAAACAAATCCATATGTCCAAACAATTCCTCACTTTCTGTAGTTATTATTAGGAACAACTTACAAGGTCAATTGCAATTTGAAAACAAAAAAATCCGGTTCTTATTATGAAGTTATATGTTTCAATAAGTTTCTACCCTCACTACAAAATCTCAGTAATAATAGCTAGTCTAGAGTATTAAGCCCCTTGGAAAACCCTAATACATCCACATTTATAAGAATCACACCACCAGTAATTGATATTCGATGGTTTAAAAAAAAAAAGTATCAGCATACCTCAGAAGCTGTTTCAATATAATGATCGATAAAAGCTTCAAGCTAATGGAGAATTAATTCTCTGCCTTCTTCACCTCGTAGACAATAAAAAAAGTATTATATCAACACCAAGATTAATTTCACAACGAAACAAAGGAAATTCCATCCTAATTACATCAAAAATCACATAAGAGAGGAAATTCACAACAAAATAAGCAAAAGATCAAACCCTTCTCCCCGAAAAAAACAATAAAACCCAAATTTTGAATTATAATTTCTTTCATAAAACCATAGAAGTAAATGTTCGGAGGAAACTCAGAGATGAAGTAGAACAGCAAAACAAAGGAAATGGGACACTTCTCAAAATAGACGAGGAAAGAGAAAAAGAGTAGGAAGAGAGAAAGAGCTAAATGAGTGATGGTGAGGAAAAACGGGAAAGTAAGGGTCTATTCAGATGGAGTGAACTCAGCTGAACTGACCTGAACTGAACTGAACTGAGCTGAGTTGAGCACTGAACTGAACTTATTAATTAGTGATTTTTAACTATGGATTAGTGATCTTTGATTATTTATTGATTATTTATTACTATACATATGTGTATATACAAATGTACATATTATTATTAATATTATTATTATTATTATCTCAATTATTATATCTCAAAAACAAAAAGTCATACAACCTACAATAACTTAGTGGGAAGCCGAGATACAATCTGGGCCTCCACTCCTCTAGCTATAGCAATGCCTAACCTAGTAAAAATATGAGCTGCAGCACGTGCTCCAATGTCTTTGCGTCGTCGAGAACCTCTGAATTCGCTTAAGCAACGCAACAGCCTCCTTCTCTAATTCACCAAACGAAGAAAAGAAGAAGGGAATGAACCCATATCCAATCGCCTGACAACGAGCCTCATACTTATCTCGCTTCCGCTGAGCTGCATCAGCCACAACCCGTCCAAGAATAAAGTCAGATAGCCTTGACTGTGTCAAATGAGAAGATCCTGTCAAATCAACACAGACATCGCAACCACGATCCCAAGAATAAAGTAACACATCAGCAGGTCTGAGGGCCTCATCGTTCCCTCCAAACAATCCAATATCAACCTCTTTCCTTGCTGAAATCCTAGAACGATAGCAAACATCAACTAGGGTATCCCGAACAACATTATGTCTATGTTTAATACCCACGATACCAGCACACGACAACGCGTGATCGCCAAAAATATCCCCTGGAAAAACCCTCGAACAAACAGAGCACGGTGTCGAGGCAGAGAACAACAGAACACCCAATCGGTAGCATAATACACATCGATAAGTCTTTGCATTCATAGTCTGACCCAATCCTGAAATAGGAACGGCCCGAAGCCAAGCAGACGTGTGATCTCCCTGCTGAGATTTCCACAATGCTAATAGACGAGGGGATAATGAAAAGGTGGATTCTGCAGAATCGATAACCTTCGTGAAATATATATCTGCCAATTTCTTCATAATTTCTGGGGCAGCGACCTCACTGGGATTACTTAAAAAATCAGACTCCACCACGCCATTAAACAAACCTAAGGCGTCTTCAAAAGCTCGACCATGACCAACAATGTCAGCATGCCGTAGAAGCTTTGTTTGCAACCCAGTAGACTGCAACCGAGAAGCAAGAAAAGCATAATGTCGAACATCACCTGCAGAATAAACACCAAGCCCTCCAAACGCAAATGGTAAAGTGGCAAGCCGCCACTGCCAATCGCCAAACCCATGTCCTGAAGCAGTAACAATACGCTCCAAAGAAGATCGAAGAGCTTCGTCAAAAGTGCGCTGAGCCGCCTCAAAAGTACTAGGGGGACAAGTATTATTATTATTATTATTATTATTATTATTATTAATTACTGATGATTATTATTATTATTATTTATTGATTATTATTATTATTATTATTAATTACTGATGATTATTATTATTATTATTTATTGATTATTATTATTATTATTATTAATTACTGATGATTATTATTATTATTATTATTTATTGATTATTATTATTATTATTATTAATTACTGATGATTATTATTATTATTATTTATTGATTATTATTATTATTATTATTAATTACTGATGATTATTATTATTATTTATTGATTATTATTATTACTATTATTACTATTATTATTAATTATTGATGATTATTATTATTATTTATTGATTATTATTATTAGTATTATTATTTCAATTATTGTTGTTGTTATTATTATTATTATTATTATTATTATTTATTATTGATGATTATTATTATTATTATTATTATTATTTATTACTTATTGATTATTATTATTATTATTTATTACTTATTGATTTTTATTATTATTATTATTATTATTATTATTATTATTATTATTATTATTATTATTATTTATTACTTATTGATTATTATTATTATTATTGTTAATATTATTATTATTGTTAATATTATTATTATTGTTAATATTATTAATATTATTGTTGTTCTTGTTGTTGTTGTTGTTGTTGTTGTAATAAGAGCTTAAAAGAATGACATTTGGCTTTATATCATTAGCAATATCATTAGACGTAAATTAAGAGCTGAATTGAACTGAACTGAACTGAATTGAACTGAGCTAAGCTGAATTGAACTGAACTGAACTGAATTTCAACGGAAGAGAACAGGCCCTAAGAACTACAAAAGACAACGGAAGGCACAACCGTAAAACAAACCCAATTTTCAGAGGGAAAAACTATTTTATAGCCATTCGTGTATCACTTTTATATATACTACCTCTGGATTTAGGCAAAATTTCCTAAGCATGTTTGTTGAAAGATAAGAGTATACTTAAGTATTAATTCAATTAAAAAAAATAATTCAACCAATCATCCATGTAGTCTCATAAACCGCTTTTAAGGACTCCAATCTGGAAAAAGAATTGATAGCTTGTACTTTTGTTGTTGTATCAATTATCATTTCAACGATCAACCTCTCCCATAATGATATCTATGCTACCTAATATCGTCATAATATCAGCCAATTTCATTTTTTTAACTAACTGAGGAAGTATTTGCAAATTGATAAAACCCGGATGGCAAATTTTCCATCTCCGAGGAAAAATACTCTGATCTTAACCCACCACCACGATACCACCTAGTTGTACATAAATCACCAATCAGGCCACCACCACCACCTACCACCGAACCCAGCAAACCCAACATCGACGACCCCGTACCCAGCAACCCAAGCACCGACGAACCCAGCAAGGCAGCAACCCAAGCGCTCGACAAACCGACTAACCTACTAACACAGCCAACACTGACGAACCTCGAACCCACGACCCCAGACGACCTCCTGAACCCACCAATCTAAGCCACAACCGACGACCCTCGAACCCGCGACCTATCGATCTAACCAACCGATCAAACCCACGACCACCAAACCCTGACCCACCAAACCCACGACCCTCGAACCCACCAGCTCTAACACTGACGATCGGCAACACCAATGTACCCACCTTGATTGTGGTGTTGGACGAGGAGAGAGAAAAAAACTGGGGATGAGAATAGTTTTATTTAGGTAGTGTAACAAGGTTGATTAAAAAAAAGTAAGGGTAAAATGGTAAATTTAACCCTAAAAACTTACCATAAAAGGAAAGAAAAACAAAAGTTGCAAGTAATGTGAACCAGCCAAAAATGACAAAAGTTGCGAGTAATAAGAACCGGAGGTAGTACTATATTAGTGTGTTGATTCTATTTACAGCATTGAATTTACATGTTGACTTGTGAGACATGAATTTTAAAACGTTATTATTACTCTATCTTGATTCTATAGTATTTAACAAGAACAAAATCATGTTGTGGAATTGGATTTTTATTTTTTTTAAATTTTTTTGTGCCATAAAGGGCCTAAATGACCCCAAAAAACCTTGATCGAAAATTTTTCATCACAAAATAAATAACATCACTCAAACCGAGACATTTTTGACACGCATATGAGACATTATTTGCGTTTTTTTTGCTAATTTTAAGGTTAATTTGGATCCTTAAGAACATGACTCACAAAACTTTAATCGAACAATTTTGACACGCACATCGAGACATTAAATGTTTAAAACGGGTATTATAGTATTTTCTTTAATTATTTCAACTTAATGAAATAGTTTTTTAACGGTGTTAGTCACGGTTGGGAAAAAAACCAAACCACGGGTGTACCGATGAGAAGACAAAAATTTAAGAGTGTATCAATGGAAAAAGTCAAAACCAGTGTATTACCAATGAGAATTTCCCATAAATTTATTTTTGTTAGAATTTTGGGTTATTTAGAAGGACCCATTAATTGAGGAAAAATACAATATAATAATCCCAACTAAACCTGGGCACGGGCCGGGTTGGCCCGCGTGCCGTTCGGCGCAGCCCGGCACGGCCCGAATTCAAGCACGGCACGGCACGAAGATCAACTCCCATGCCACGGACAGGGTTGAGAATTCCCAGGCACGGCCCGGCACGAGCACGGCCATGGCCCGCCATGTTGGCCCGTCGTGCCGGCCCGCGGGCCAACGGTAATATTACCGTTTAGTCTAGCTCCTTAATAAGCCAAAAAAACGGCTAAAAAAACGGCTAGTTTTTTGCCAATTTGCTCCCCAAAAATTCTATAAATACTCACCTCCATTCATTCCCAAATCACAATCTCTTCTTCTTATCTCTTATATTCTCTAAATCTCTAATAATCCTTATTTTCTTAAATTCTCTAATTATTCTCTTAAATTCTCTAATTAAAAAATTAAAAAGTTCGTAATCGTAATTAGTGGAGCGTTGAAGCACGGTTGTAAGATCTAAACTAATCTTAAATTTATTATTGTTTTATTGTTATTATTAGAATAATCTTGTTTAATTATTATTGTTGTTAATTGTTATTGTTGTTGTTATAATTGTTGTTATTAATTATTATTATTGTTACAATTGTTGTTATTATTTATTTTTTTTGTTATTGTTATTGTTATAGTTGTTGTTATTAATTATTATTATTGATATTTTTATTGTTAAAATTGTTGTTATTAATTATTATTATTATAGTTAACCACTTTTTATTAAAAAATTAATTGTTAATTATGGCATCGAACAACCCATCATCTAGGTCTAGGGGGAAAGGCCGACTTATCCGTAGTAGTAGTTCTAGGGAACCACCAAATACAACGAGCCCCCAAATTACGAGTCAAACCAATGACCCCATTTACTTCCCCCCGGGCTATGAGCCATATAATACGTCGGGATTTCCAGCACCACCACTAAACCAATTTCCACTACCACCATACCAATTTCCACCTAATTATATCGGTGATCAACAAAACTATTGTTCTAGCCAAGGTAGCCAAGAAAGTACCCGAATTCCCTCCGGTTCTACCCCTTCTACTGCCACTCCCACTAGTCCCACTACTAACCATCACACACATCATGAATGGTTAACCGAAACTGAGATGCTACTTTTGAAAAACCGAAGGAGTGAGGTATGGCGTTATTTTGTCCTAAGTAAAGATGGTGAACAATGGGCAAAATGTAAAACATGTAATAGTGTATTCACGGCAGTTACCAAAAACGGGACGGGACACTTATCTAGACACATGAAAGCTTGTGCAAAACCAGCTAGTGATCCAATCCAGCCCAAAATTTCCCAATTCCATCCATACGGCTTTACATACAACTATGAGAGGGATAGGGATAAACTAGGAAAAATGATAGTACACGCCGAACAACCTTTTCTTTTCTTGGAAAGTGACGCATTCAACACCTACATTAACAAAGCACTACAACCCCAACATAAAAGAATCTCTAGGAAAACCGTTCGTTCCGCCGCAATGAAAAATTTCCTAAAGTACAAAGTCCGGTTACAAGCCGAATTGAGTAACCTTAACTGTAGAGTATCTTTAACAGCCGATTCTTGGGATAGTGGTTATAAATATCACTATTTATGTGTGACTTGCCATTGGGTAGATGATCAATGGATGTTACAAAAAAGAATAATACATTTCAAAATGCTGGAATACCCACACACTGGCATTAACATTGCTCACCATTTAATGCAAGCAATAGACGAATACAACCTTCGAGATAAAATGATGTCTATGACTTTTGATAATGCAACCTCTATGACATACACAGCTAATCTTATCAAACAAAACTTAACCGATGTACTATTAGACGGTGAAGCTCTTCATACTAGATGTGTTTGCCATGTACTTAACTTATGTGTACAGGATGGAGTTCGGGCAATTGGCCCATACTACAGCAAAATCAGAGATGCTATTATGTCTATTAATAGCTCTAACATGAGATACCAAGAATGGAAGAGTTTTCTAAAACAACAAAAGATAAGGGTAATAAAAATTAGAACCGATTGCCCAACTAGGTGGAATTCCACCTATGACATGTTAACAAAGGCAATTGAGTACAAGGACCCGTTAACATTATTTTACAACCAAAAATTTCCACAAAATGCTTTGTATGATGATGATTGGAATAACTGTGAAAGATATATGCAATTTTTACAGTTATTATATAACATGACGTATTGTTTTTCTACTGTTTACAATCCTTGTGCTCAAAACTTTCTTTCTAATGCATGCTTACTCGCCCAACTTTTCGCTGATCATCGCCATCAAAGTGATTATGATCAGTATCTTCCAGCAATGGAAAAAAAGTGGCGTAAATATTATAGTGAGATTCCTTTGATTTATATTTTTGCTTCCATATTAGATCCTAGGCAAAAGTATGAAAACACATTTATGTTAGTTGACATTTACTTTCAATGCATGTTTCTTGACGATGATGTAGAAAACTATAAGACTAATGTGAAGGATCAGTTTTTTGCTTTATATAGAGTCTATGAAGCCAAATATGGCACCGTTCCTCGCTCAGGGCCTTCCCAACCATCCAAAAACGTAAGTAAGAAGGCCAAACATTTATTTTCACAAGCTACTAACTTGATTTCAAGGTTTTCAGGTGATTCATCAATCAGGAGAACGCAAAGCGACGTCTCGGAGTTGCAGATGTACCTGAGTTACGACTTCACCAAAGGCATGGACGACGATGAGATAAACAGCCTCGACCTCCTTGCATGGTGGAAACAACAAAGCTCGAAGCATCCAACTTTGGCGGCAATGGCACGAGACATTCTTGCTATCCAAGTTTCCTCCGTCGCCTCCGAACGAGCTTTCAGCGCATCCGGAAGGGTTTTAGACGATAGAAGAATAAGTCTAAAACCCGAAACACTAGAAATGTGCGTGTGTTTCAAAGATTGGTTGGATGCGGAAAATCGCTCACAAGACCGTTCTTACGACCACAACGACAACGAAGAAGGAACCTCCGCTTCCGGTTCGGGTTCGGCTAGTTCCCAATCTATGCAACTAGCCGATGACCTTGAAGGCGAAGACGAAGACGAAGACGAGCAAGAAGAAGGAGAAGAAGAATAGACAATTATTGTATATTGTACGATTTTAAAAATATCAATTTTATCATTTTCCAATTTTTGTTTAATACCATCATTGTATGATTTTTATCATTGTTATCATTGTACAATTTTCTCAACTCAAGTAATAATAATATAAAGTACGCATTATTCACATCCAAAGTCCAATTTGCCTTTTTTCCCCGTTTTGTTACAATTTGTAAATTCATATTAAAAAAAATAAAATTATAGCAATTACTAATAAATCATAAACATTAAATTTTAAAGTAATAGTATAAAGTAAATATATAAATATAAATATTGAATATACAAATTATAAAACATAAATATTCAACTTATAATTATAAAATTCATAACTTAATAACTTATAACTTATAAGTTATAAACTTATAAGTTATAACCTTATAAAACTTATAATTATAATTTTATAACTTATATACATTATAAACTTATTAATTTATAATGTTGTCATATAAAAAAAAAAAAAAAAATTATTTGAAAACTGCACCAGCCCGCTGCCAGCCCGCCAGGCACGAGGGCCGTGCCGTGCCGTGGGCTGGCCTGTGAAAATGCCCGGCACGGCACGACACGAAATCCTGGGCCCGCCGGCACGACCGGCACGGCACGAACCAGCCCGTGGCCCGCCAGGCACGGCCCGCGGCGGCACGGCCCGGCACGGTGCCCAGGTTTAATCCCAACTATTGACGATTTACTTTTAATAATGCCAACTAAGGTTATCATCTACTAATCCCAACTATTGGATATGTTTGCCTAAAGTAGTCCCAACCGGTCAACACCAAGTCAATGACTTGTTTTAGCAGATAACCAGTCCACGTGTCAGCACGTGATTGGTCTAAAATAAAATATAAAAAATTAAAAAAAAGGGGGAAAAAAAAACCTCCCAGCCACCACACATCCCTTTCCACCACTGTGAAGCCCAGATCTAGCCCAACCCCAGCCCGCCGACCGTCTCCCCTTACCCCAGAAAACGACCGGCACCAGACCCCCCCATCCCGACCTTTCTTCCTCTCGTCTCCTCCGTCGTTTGACGCTCGGAAAACCCTCTATTAACCACCTCGAAATTCCAGCCTCGACCTCGAGAAACCCCTACCCACGCCGGAAAACTACCAATCTACACCAAAAACCCAACCCTGACCCCAAAATAGCCATCTCCCTTCTCACGATCAACCTAAATAGCCTTTGACTAGGTATGACGTGCGACTGGAAATTCAGGTATAGAAAAGGTCGGACACCGGAGTTTCGGGAGTGGGAAGGGACGGCGGGTGTTAGGGAGGTGGGTGGTGGTTGGCCGACTGATTTTCAATTAGCTGTCAACAGTTGGGATTATTAAGTTGCATTTTCCATTAGGCAAAAGCTAACGAACGCCTCGGATGCGTTGGATAAACTAACTAAAAGGAAAAATATTATATTAAAATTAATATTAATTACACTGATCGACGCGTGATTTTGTCATATTTTCCCAAATTAATCACTTTAAATACTATTTTAAATGCTTATCCAACGCTCATTAACAAGATCCTATCTATTAATTAACAAAATTTCAATTAATTACTCTTGATTGGAATGAATCACAAATTATGCAAAATTTAAGAAACTAGAATTAGGCGGGCTTGGGAGGCCTGCACAAGTGAGTTCTGCAAAAGTAAGCAGCGTCTCAACTTGGCTAGCCTTTAACCCCTCCAAAAATTATTGCGCACCAATTCTTATTGATAGACGCTGCGGCCGGTTCTCACCGCCCGCTTTGTTTTCCTTACTCATTAGTTTAAGGCAGTTTATAAAGTTATTCAAAACTTCTAATTATATAACTCCAAACCACCTTACTCTTCACCTTCTTCCGATGTGGGACAAACAAACTCCCTTTTCTCTATTTCTTCCATTTTTGTTTTCTACCAACCTTCTATTGTACCCCCAAAAATTAATTTAAGCTGAAACTCTGAAAGCAAAGAAATGGAGAGCCAACAACAGTCATGGAAATTGAGATTTTCCTTCAAAAATGCTACAATTATTGTTTGTTTGTTTAATTTGGTTACTGCGCTTTTCTTGCTTCAGGGCTTCTTTTCTCCTTATTCTTCTCGCAGATTTCCTCCAGATCACTCAAATTCAGGTTTTTATTTTATTTTTCTAATTGGATTTTTGTACCAAGTGAATTTTTGGTTTATTTTGCAGCATACCAAAGATCCATTCTTTATAAATGTGCACTATTATAACATAGGTCATGATCCGGTTCGAATCCAGATTAGTCGGAGTCTAGTGTGTTTTGAAAATTAGCCAATAACTGTAATGGTTGATTTCTTCTAAGTTAGAAAGGTGATTTATACTGTTGTAGCTATGAATGTTAAAGTGAGCAGGATTCTACATTTTCGGCAAATTTATGTCTTAGTTTACTTTGTATTATTCAATTGAGATTGCAAATCATCTGAATTATTCGTTTTTTGATTGGTTTATGACCTGGGTTTGTTGAAAAAAGTTGTTAGGAAATTCTACTTTTCTCCTTTAATTTATCTGGGTTTTTGTCATACTGCTCACTATTTTCTATTTTTCTGTGATATAGCAGTCTTACAACTCAGGATTTATTATTCTTTTTATTACAGTTCAGCTTAGGTATGTTAAGGAATCTGATGAACTTCGGAGAGCTATGCAACCATTGGAGCTGATCCGAAGAGTATGTTCTATGAGCTTGTCTTTTGAAAAATTTACAATTTGTAATGATGCATTTTGTTCAATTTTTGAGGTTTTGAATTTGTTTACTTTTGTTGATCAACGTCAGGATCAAATTCTTCTTTGTTGTCATTTGATAGGAATTGTGGTAGCTAGCAAAGGTTAATCATATATGCTGAAGTAGACAATCCTCGGGAATCCGAGGAAGTATATGATTCCGATGCACGAATGTCCTGTCACTGATACCTCATTGCACTATTGCCATTTTGATATGAATCTAGGGACTTATGCTGTTGGGGAACAACTGTAGAAATGATATTTTATCTGTTTGAGAAGGCAATGTGATGTTACCTGAGTAGCTTCCCTAAATCTCTTCTATGAGTGTCGATTTGTCATCTCTCATTCTTAAAAGTACCCACTTGTGATCTCTTGCATTTAGGTCAGGGAAATTGAACGAGAATCATATGCAGAACCGGAAACAGTTCAACATACAGAGACGAAGCAGACTGCTGCAGTTGATCTGTCAAAGAGGTTAAACGCCCGCACTTTTACTGATGCAGCAAGCATAAAAGGTAGGCAAATAGTCAGTTAATTCCTGACCCCTTTCGCATAATTTTTTTTTTCCCTAGATAGATGATGTGTTCATTTAGTGTGGCTTTCATCTTTCGATGGGAGGGTCATCTCAATGCTTGTTAAATGGCAGTTAGATATTTTAGGATGGACATGAACTACAACCTTTAAGATCTATACATTCCTCGACTACACTTGTTTAAGACCTAACTATCCCATATGCTGACATATGTTAAACAGACCAAGATACGTTGCAGTTTCTAAGATGGGCCAGGAAAATTGAGCCGCCGTGTCAATAGAACAGTTGATTTGTAATTTCATCTTTGACAGCAAGATACAAAAATGAGACCAAACAAACCTTGATTTCCTGGTAGAAAAGCTAGATGACAAGCTCCTGCTAACATGACTGATACAACACTAAACAAAAAGTGTGCATGAATTGATATTCTTAGGCTTGAAACTTCCATCGCACCAGCAACTTTATTCTTCCAAGAAATTCATAATGCCTTGCCGTCAGATCGAATATCCACCTTCTCCAGCTCTCTTCTCTTCACTTCCAGCTGACGTTTTAGCATGAAAATTCCCCCCGCCTTTATGGCATTAACAGCTAGAACACTCTCTCCTTTCGCAAATTGCTACCGATTTACTACAGTTCCATCCAATGCCTGCCAAATATTCCCTTATCATTTTTGTCCATGGACCATCCACAACAAAGAAGTACTTCATTAGCTACTGGTTTCCCAGCTAGCAGAAACCTGATTGATTAAGATACCTTACTATAGAGCAGTTGCATCTTCTTTTTAAGCTCCAGTACCCTCCAGCTTTCTTCTCAAAATGATCAACAAGTGTCATTACATTCTCTGTGTTAAGACTGTTAAGTGTCGACAGATCCAAATTTGAAGACAATATCGTTATGATGAATCTATATCTCCCGGTGATTTGGAATTCTGTAGCACACAAGATATTAGGCTCATCATCCTTCCTAAAATAGGAAGAATGTGATAAAATTACAAATCTAATTTTTAATTAGAGTAGTATTGTTCTTAGTGATATTGATACCGAGTAGAATCTCTTCAAATATACTTAATAATTGAGTTGTCCTTGAATAAGTGATGTTCGTCCTCAGTCTACAGTAACTGATGATGGCCTACTGCTGTATGCACGAGTCTCCATACATATAATTTTCACTTGGGTAAAATTTCTAAGTACCAGAAGTGCTCCCAAGCATGGTGAAGACCCTGTTTTAAATTTTCCTGAACTCTGGACTATTACTCTCCATTGAATCAACATAAGCTGACCTAACAGTGAGATCTCACAATTCCCCCATTAGTAGGAATTGAAGTCATAAAGCAAAAGAATGGCCTGGTTGAGTCTCTAATTCTCTGTGGAAAGCATTTCATATGAGAGCAGAGTTTCATTTCCTCTGTCCAGAAATCACTAGATCACTGACCTTTTGCAAGTGCATCCATTAACAGTCATCTTGGCTCTTTAACTTTAAGCCAAAACCTACAACCCACCTGTCCTCTGGATTTTAATTGTTGCACCTCATTCAATTTACTTGTAAACCCGATTCCTGTGCTTTCTTATGCTCTTACACTCAACTTGAATCTCCATGAGGTTCTAGGAGAATAAGAGTTGTGAAAACTGTGCTCAACTGCAGAGGATATACTTCCTTTGTCCCACATTAGTCTAAAAACTGATAGTGGACATAGTTTTAGGAGATAAGCTGTGTTTGGATAATCTATTGCTATGTTAATTGAAACATAAATTTGGAAAAATGATACTGGGTACATAGAACAAGTATGAAAAAATTTACAAGTAGACAGTTTCTTTTATGAATCCAAAATGCTTTTTTTTTTTTTTTGCTAAGAGTTTTATACAATAAATTGATATTGAGTAACCCCAGTCCTCCAAGTCTTTAGGAGGTTCTAAAACTTCCTTCTCCATTGGAAAATATAAGCATAACCAGAACTAGTCGACCAAAAGTTACAGATGATAGACTAATACTTATCTTGATATCCTGAAGCACTGGAAACAGAAAGAGCACATTTTTTCAAAGATGTTAGAATTTTATTTGCTAGAAGCAATCTTCCAAATGGGTACAAAGTCAAGCATTTCCAGGAGGAAACTTTCATTTGTACAACATCGATTAGACCATGAGTAATCTTAAATTCCGACCATTAACTTTTATCAAGGTCCAAGTTTATCTGAATTTTGGGTTCTAACTTCCAAGAGTCATTTGGATAGCTACATTAAGTTTAGTTTGCCTCGTAATATTTTTATGGAACAGCTGGTTTTAAAAAAAATATTTACCTTTCTTCTACTAGCTATCCCTTACTGTTTTCTATTCACTTTTGTAGCTTCAACCTTTGCAAGGATATGAAAATTCTGTTTGATGAATCTACCAAAATAGTAAAATATTTCCAACTAAGCTACATCTATAACAATTTTCTTCCTGGGTATTTTGACTCAATTCATATTTAGGCTTTTTGTCTACTGAAGTTTTGTCATTGGCATTTTTTATGTTTGCATAAAAGTGATATAACAAAGCCATTGTACATGTATCTAGTTGTTGCTTCAGAAATTAGTATGAGCATTGTCATCTGTTTTGTGTTCTATTTTGGCAACACTAATGTACTTTATATTTAATAGCTTTGGAAGAATGGCGGAAGCGAAAGATGGAGCGTGCCAGACAACGGGAAATGGGAAGAAATGCAACAGCTGCCTCTTAAGCATGAATATACTAAAAGTTAGTTTTGTATTCTTCTTAATAGCTGACATAAAGTTGGATTGCAAGCTGTTAAAAGTTTCCCTTCTTCATAGGCTATTCATGCAAAACCTGGGTGCTGTAATGATTAGAGTGCTCTGGTAACGCGACCAAAAACAGAACTGTAAAAAGGAAATTCCAATCTATGACTAGTGTACACCAAGATTTCGAGTGACTTTTGAGGACAGTCATCATGTAAGTTGTACTGAATATAACTGTTTAATTAATGCAGTTGTTCGATGTCCAATCTACTCCTAGCGCAAAATTAGTGCTAGCCGTAATTTCCCTCCTTGTATGGTAATTAAGTTTGTGGAGCAACCTGCCACTTTGCTGTTCGTAGTCAGAGTAGTTTAACTTTTGTATATTGTAGGATTCTGTGTCATCAAGCTTCTGTTCAGGAGAATCAGAGCGCAAGATAATCAGAGCAGCCCTGTTGTATCTTGTATATCTCCAATGAAGGCAATGCCGCAATGGGATATGAAATGTTTGTTAAAGTGCACCACAATAATCTTGTTTCTGTTTGCTCAAAGGCAATTAAGGATGCAAATTGGAGAAGGACATGCTTGCTATTTATTACTCATATCTCTTTAATTTGCATACACCCGGTGTACAGTAATTTACTGCACGTCGGGCTGTTTGCACGTGTGAACAGTTTTTTTTTTTTTCAGAAATTCCAGAATTCTAATTACTTCTCCGCACAACCGTTGAACACAGCAACAATGGAGGATAGAGAAAATGAAAATATGAATTGCGAGAAAGAAATTGGAGATGATCTTACCTCCAATTTTCGATCATCATTTAATTTCTCAAATTGTGAATACCTAATTCAAGATATTCTGATATAAAATTCAACCACCATTAATTGAAAATCTGGAGAACTTGAAGCATACGAGTTTTGACATAAATCGCACAACCATATATAGAAGATGAAGCAGAGAATTTTGTTGATGAATTCGATCAATTTTAAGATGACGATGGGAAGTTTATTTGTGTTGTTGTGCGACGCCAAATGGGGGGGGGGGGGGGGGGTTCTCTTCTGTTAAGATGGCTGAGTGCCTGAGTCTATGGCTGTTAGATGTGGTCTATATGCTGCTGTTTACCTTGGATGCAGGATGGTGGAATTCGAATGCGACTCTCTTGCTGTGGTAAACTTGATTCAACAGTGTAATGGTAGTTGTGCACAGCACCTATTGATCTGATTATTGAGGATATCCGTGAGTTGGGCAAGAGCTTTGATTCTTTTGTTTGCTTGCAGCCTTGCACATTAAACGGAATGGGAATGGGGCTGCTCATTTAGCTTCTAGGATTAGGGCTGGCAAACCCTGACCCGACACGAAAACCCGACCCGAACCCGATCCGAAGTTACTGAGAGAGACCCGAACCCGACCTGAACCGAACCCGAACAACCCGAATTCGACCCGATTTGACCCAAATTTCATATTTCGTAATAATATTAAGTTTTACACTATTTTTAATAGTTTCTAAGCATAACCCGAAATCGACCCGAAATCTGACCCGAACCCGACCTGCTGACCCGAATTGCCACCCCTATCTAGGATAGAAGTCATAGAACCTAGTGATGGGGTTTATCAAGTTTTTACAATTCTTTTCCGCTAAGTGTCATGGCCTTGGCGGATATTTACTTGATGTAATTTGTTTCTGTTGCTTTAATAATATTGCCCCTCTCCTTTGTGTTAAAAAAAAAAAAAAAAAAGTACTAGGGAAGCACAAGTTATTAAAAAATCTGGTACATTCATTAAAAAGTTGTCCTAAAATGATCAAAAGTTACCCCGAATTAAATAAAAGTTACCTTAATGTAAAAGAAAGTTACTAAAGGGACCCTAATTAAGATAAAGTGACCCTATTTCAAAGTAAAAGTGACCCTAATTCAAGGGCAAAAGTGACCCTAATTAAGAACCAAAGTGACCCTAATAAAGGACAAAAGTGACCCTAATTAAGGATAAAGTGACCCTATTTCAAAGCAAAAGTGTCTTAATCAAGGACCAAAGTGACCCTACTCAAGGGCAAAAGTGACCCTAATCAAGGATCAAAGTGACCCTAATCAAGGGAAAAAGTGACCCTAACAAATTAAAGGAAAAAAGTGACCCTAACGAAGGAAAAAAGTGACCCTAATTCAGTACAAAAGTGACTTTAATTAAAGTGAGCTCTATGCCCATTAGAAATTATAAAGACGACTGTTAGTACACCAACAATGGTGATAAATGACACATACCAATAAACAGGTGTTATGTAGGCTATGCGGGGCTTGAACCTACACCATGTACCCTATTGTACATTACTCTACCAATTGAGCTAATAGCCTTGAATAAAACACTTTCAAAATTCACAAATGCTCCACCAGTCACCACAATCCACCCACCAATGCCAAAATAAAACACAAATGCATTGCTTCTAAAACTTGATTTAATCATTTTGAAATAAAAGGCAAAAGTGACCCTAACCAATAGCAAAAATGACCCTTTCTCGAGAGAAAAAGTGACCTTAATCGAAAGAAAAGGTGATCCCAAATGAGTACAAAAGTGACTTTGATTAAAAAGTTACCCTAACGAATAGGGCTATGCTCAGTAATTAGAAGTTACTTATAATAACCAACAATGGTGACACACAAAATAAACCTTATTAGCATAAAAGTAATCCTGATTAAGGATATAAGTGACCTAAGTACCTAAGCGAGGAAAACTGCGACGTAACTCAAGGGAAAAAGTTATCCTAGTAGAATATAACAACAACCTTAATTAAAGGGAAAAGTATCTAAATCTAGCTAAGGACGACAACAATCTTAATAATGGGAAAATTTTACCTTAACTATGGACAAAGTGACCTAATTGAGGGAAAAAGTGACCTTATTTGAGGAAAAATATTAGCCTAATTAAGGACAGAAGTGACACTAACTGAAGGAAAAAGTTACCCTAATCAAGGAAAAAAGTGACCTTAAATGAGGAAAAAAGTTACCCTAATCAAAGACAAAAATGACCTTAACCAAGGGAAAAAGATACCCTAATCGAGAACAAAAGTGATCTTTGCTGAGGGAAAAACTTACCTAACAAAGACAAAAGTGACCCTTACTAAGGCAAACGTTATCCTAATCAAGAACAAAAGAGACCCTCACAACGTACAGCAAAAGTAACCTTAGCCAAAAGTACTTTTTTTATCCTAAGCAAGAGTTTTATGCTAGATACAAGTTATAAATATATGACCATAATAAACCAACATTAGGAATGCACTAATAAACAAGGTGGTATTTAGGCTATGTGGGGCTCGAACCCACACCATGTAAGCAGTAGCACATTGCTCTACCATTTAAGCTAATAGCCTTAAAATTAGACTCATTTCAATTCTATCATAACAATGGGAACAACATAACACAGTCACACATTTAAGGAAAATGACTTTAAAAATTTAGCTAGAGAGGTGGGAGGGAATGAAACTTCATCAACACTAACCTATTACTATAGCATTATCAGAGTTTATTCTTAGCCAAAAGATCCTAGAGTAGTAGTACAGAGTAGCTTTCATTGTATTAGTGATATGGTTCACTTAAATTTTCTCACAGAAATATATATGAGTAGTCAATGCAACTACCAGCAGTGCCATACTTACATTTTTTTTTTTTTTTTTTTTTTTGGAGAAATGGCATACTTCCTATAGACACCCATTTGTGTCTCCCCAAAATCAAACTCGGTGATGAGTACCTTTCACATCGAATCATAATCGAATGAAGTGAAAGTGTGGAAAGTCTAGTGTTGCGGTTGGATTTATTTCTTTTCTTTCTCTCTGTTTTTGAAAACCTATTTTGTGAAAACAGCCAATCCAGTTTGGTTTGGTCCATGGCAAGGGTCTAATAATAGTGTAGTTGGGTAGGGTTCGAAAAGAGCTTCCAACGATATATTAAAAGCCCAATTCCGATGAATAATGAGGAAGTTATGGTCAAACTACTAAACTGGGCCCGGTTTAATATTTATATGAGGCCTAATGATCCACAGGAGGGTCTATTATTGATTTATCATTTCTAATGCGATAAGGATTGATTATAGTCTTCTAGAATCTTCTAGAAGTTAGTATCATGTTAGGGCTATATATTTGATCTTTGATGCTTAGTAACATGTCAGAGTTTGTTATTAATCTTGTTGGTATCATGCCTAGGATATTGCTATTATTATGCTTTAACATGATTATGATAATTATGACTATGATAATTATTATGTTGCTTGATGCTTATTTATTATTATTGCTTGATCACACCTTTTATGTATGTTTCAAGGGAATTGGTACTTGTAATCACGCTAAATAAGATGATTAATAATCTTGTTTAGGGTTAATTTGATTATAGTTCAAGTGATCGTCAATAATAAATTTATTTGTGCATTAATATTCAACCAACATAGATAAACATGTTTCAGGGTAAGTTTATTGATTGCATGTTAGTCAGAAAGCACACATGAATACGATCAGAATAAAGTAGAGGCCTATTATTAGGGTAGGTTCAATCTCTTTTAGGTTGGATTTGTACCTTCTTCCTCGAACTTCCAGTCATGGTTCCAGACCTATTGGAGTTAACAATCTCATGGATCGTTAAGGGGTGTAACCTTCACCCTGTGACCGGTTTACTAGTTTCTAAAACTTGTTGGCGACTCTTTTGCTCTAACTTCTTTCCCTTTGGACGCCACCATACTTAAGTGTATGATCACAGTGGGGTTCAAGTTTGGGGTATTGCTTGAAATATTCCCTGCACTTACATATGAATGACAAGAAACCACCAATATATTGATTAAAATTTAATAACTATCAAATCTTCAAACAATCAAACTATCAACCTCAGAGTTAATTCAAACAGCGAACAAATTAGTAGTACAAAAAATATAAAACATATTTTATATTTTTAAAATTAGAGGGAAAAATATACAAAAACAACAATTAAACAATCATTATGTAAAATCTAAAAACAAAAAAAAAAAACAAAAAAAAAAACAATTAAAACAAAAAAAAAGAAAAAAAACGACATCATCTAACAAATAAAAGAACGCAAGTACTAAATGCAGTACAAAATAGCCTAAATGCAGAAATTAATTAATAATACGAAAATAATTAAAAGACTGAAATAGTCTTTTCCAAAATAAAAATACTTATTTGCCATTTTACCATCAGTCTTTCAGTTTTTACATTTTTTATTTTGCAATTCATTTCACTCGCCATTTTTTTTTTATTTCATTCACCATTTCAGTCACCATTTTTTTTTCAACTCATTTCATTTCACTATTTCCCTTAAAATTCTTCAATCTGAGCCTTAGAGACAAAAAAAGTCGTTCACCACTCATAAACCATCTAGTCTAAGGTTTTTTTTGTTTAATTTTTTTTTGTTTAATTGTTGTAATTTTTTATTATAAGTACCCCCGTCTATGTTTTTCGGGGACACTGTTATCCCCGAAAAATCTTATCCGTTGGGTACTAAAGACCCCCGAGAATCTTATCCGGGGGGTATTGGAGACCCCGAAAATCATAGCCGGGGGGTATTGGAGACCCCCAGAAATCTTAGCCGGGGGGCGCTAGAGACCCCCGAAAATCGTATACGGGGGGTGCTGGAGACCTTTGAAAATCTTAGCCGTACAAGATGGAAATTTTATTTTGTTTGATTATTTAACTATTACGGCACATAATTTTCACACTAAAAAAAATCGTCGTAGTGCACTTTATTATTGTCTTTGAATTTGTATAGTATTCAATATTAAATAAAATACAAGATTGAATACATTAGAATTTGGTTTGTAAATTAAACAGTTGGGAATAGGGATGATTATATAGTTAGGTGTATACAAAATTAATTTTAATCATTTAAAAAAAAAGTGTAGAGGATTAAGGTTTTTTTTTTTTTTTTTTTTTTTTTGGGCATGAGAGGATTAAGTTAAAACAAGGACAAAATTGGAATATAATCCTTTTCAAAAAATAACTTATTCTGAATTTAGG